CATTTGAAAATGAATTGTCAACCAATGTCATTAGATGTTACAAAATAATATAACAGATGATCACTAAAAGTCGTATTTATTTCAACTGACAAAAAATTTCCTTCCAAATATATTTGTCAACAAAGCAATCCAAAAAGATGGACGAAATTGTCACAACAGTCACTATTCTGTACCTTACAATAACATTCAGAAAAAATTTATTCAAATTTTAGATTATCTTTCAAAAGAGCAAAAGTATTCAATATTGAATTGAGTCTTTAAGAAAGTAAAGCTAAGAAATTATCAAATACATTAAAATATTTCGGAAAGCCATGGTGCTTTAATCAATAATCTACTTATTATATATTACACGTATCTGAGAAGATTGCACTTCATTATCAAGTTAAAGTAGATCGTTATCTTGTCATATTGTAAATTTTGAATTTACCGGGTGACAGTAAATACAAAATTTACAACGTGACAACAATTTTGCATTTTACTGTCACCCGGTAAATTCAAAATTTTACAAAATGACAGTCTTATCACACAGATGTACTTGATCTCCACAATTTTCCGTTTCCTTCACGAATATACAATTTTTCTATTATTGTTCCTCACGGTATTTTTTAGAGTAAAATATCACAGTTATCTGCACTCCATTCCAAAGAAATGGTCTAGCTAATGTGAAGTACAGTTTTAAAACCACGACAGACTATACTGAAGGAAAATATACACTGAGCTTTATATCTTTTAATAATTCGAACGAAAAAAGGATGTGTGCATATGTTTATTTTTCATTTGATATACATGACTGTATATTTTTTATTATCTATCTATCTATCTATCTATCTATCTCTATATATATATATATATATATATATATATATATATATATATATATATATATATATATATATATATATATATATATATATATATATATATATTCTTTCACCATTTTAACCCCTTGCCTTCATTCTGTGAAAAATCATCGATACTAACGATAGTTATGTCAGAAACAATTCAAGTGCACCTTTGGACTGCCAAATGTTAAAACCAGCTTTGTAACACAGATTTTAAACTGTAGTTAGCTTTGCTGTTAACCTTAGTTCCATCTGGTCAACACCAAAAAAGCAAAACCGAAAAAGTACGTACGTATTAGTGCTGTTAAATATTTATCAAATGTTTATCAACATCAAACCATTCTAGACAACTGTCAACAGAATATGTATATTTTAGAAAGTGTTTCGTTTATCGGTTAATTTCAGGGGGGGGGGGGGGGGGTTAAGAAAAATATGATAAGATTATGAATCAAAGTACTGTGAGTACTGATAGACGGTGGCATGAATGATTTTGTTTGATTGTTGTTTGTTTTAATTAAAACGTCCCTCTCGGGAATTTTTCACTCATAATGAGGCGCCACCACTGCCATTGGTGGGCTGCAAATTTTATATCTATACTCAGCACTCAGGGCCATTGTGCAGTGAGGGATCTTTTTTTCTGGCAAGCACTTACTGCGACACGGGACCTCAGTTTAACGGTCTCATCCGAAGGACCGGTCTCCACGTCCCGCAGTGGGATTCGAACCCGCGACCTAAGGATCGACTCCTTACTCCTTGACTCTAGAGCAAACGCTCTAATTACTGGATACATGCATGTGTGGTTCCATTTAGGCGCTCTTCCAAGTTAGATGTGCATTTTTTTTTTTAGCAGAAATGTGATTGAGAAATTTGAGGAACAATTAATAAACCTATTGTGAGTTGCAGATATGAGCGAGTATCAGTAAATTCCGAATTCATTGTACTTTCTTCGCATAATTTGAAAATAATCTTATCAGCATGCATTTCAGCGATATCAAGTATCAAATGAAAAAGTTAAATTTTACAACAAAAAGTGTCATGAAATCGTAGTGTTTTGAAGTTAGAAATTGTGATTTTATAATTTAAAATCTTATACTCTGTGGTTAATTATCAAATTTTGCTAATCTGGAATAAAATTGAACTCACAATATTTTTTTTAAACAAAAACTAACTTTTCTTAAATTATATGGTAAAAAGGGAAATGATGAATCACTTTTGGCGTTGTACTGTAGATTGTGCGACATAAATCATATGCTGAAAGATAATGAAATAGACTTTATCTTTGGATCCCCATTTTTGCCAAATTTCCAGTAATTTACTTATTTCAATAAGGTTGAAAGACTTCGAGAATTGTACAGTAGTTTTACCTTTTTGTTTGATATATATATATATACTGTTCGAAAAAAAAAAAGAAGAACAGAATAATAAAATATCTTTCACCCTCTATTTCTCTTAATATCTTATTATGCCCTGACCCCGCTAGTCATTGCGTAATACGAAGTTTTGAAAACACATGCAGGAGAAGACTGCCCTATATTAAGTCAACTGAATTCGCAAGAAAATCCTAATATTTCATGTACATGTATTTGTGTAGCTTTTTTCTTACACTTTTTAAAGGGTAAATTTTATTCGAGGCACGATAGAATTTTCAAATACAAATGAAATATACGGATAACTTTTGTTCGTCACAGTCCTGTAATTATAGCTTTGATAAATTAGCATCCTTTCAGTAGTTTTTGTGTCCGAGATAATTAGGCAATGACTTTTGTTTTCAGATAGAACCGTAATAAACTTTGCAAAATGGCATCGTATCTGCCTTCTACAACTCTCTTTTATGTAAACTTTAAGAGGACGTGATTTTTTTTCCATTCCGAAAATATATCTTTTTCTAATATAGTATCGTCAACAGATACTAGAAATTCAAATAATGAAAAGACACGTAAAATTTCAATAAACTGTATAAGTATCATTGTATAAAAATTCCACAAAACGTCTCAAATAAAAATTTAAAGGCCGAGGTTTTCAACCGGTCGGTTTTCCTCAGGTAAGTTTGATGTGGGGTGGAGCTTAATTGAAACGGCTGTGAAGCCCCGAGGGAACCAAGCTGGCTTGTGTATACCTACCTATATACACAGGATGTTACCTGTATATTGCCTGTAAATGTTTTCCTAAGACATAGTTTAACTTCGCGTGTTGGTCAATCGAAATGTTGATCGTCAAATTTATGAAATAAAACATGCTAAATTTTTTATGTAGACTGATTCCTTTAGTTAGATTCTTTTTTTAAAATATGTTTGAATAAAGGAGACAATTTTAGTTTAATTTTTGCGTTAATAAATTTCATGCAGTTCTGCAACAAGTTCTGCAACAGTCCTCGAATCATATTAACTGAATTTTCGGAAATGGAGAAATTTTGGGATCGACGCTTTCCAAGCATGGAGTATCTCGTAATTAGGGAATACCAAATTGGGAACATCTCGTAATAAGCGTTTGTCACACATCCAACAGCGAAGAAACCGCCCAGAGTCTGTTGGTTTAACAATAATTATTTTATTTCCTAAGATGGTAAGGTGTAATGTGAAACCATTATCCATAAATATTTTCTCCCAGATTATTTTTTACTTTTAATAAATTTTATTGAATTTTTACATTTCCACAACGTAAAAAAGGCCGTGTGTACGAACTGACTTTTTGCATTTGTTTCACGTTCAGCAAACTTTATGTACGAATTGACTTCTGTGGTTTGCATACGAATTGACTTCTTATATACGAATCAGTTTTTGTACGAATTAACATTAAGTCGGCGTAATTTAATGAATATTCATGAGGCGAGAAATATTATAACGGCAAATATCAGGAATTAAACTTTGCGCCAATCAACAAAATGTCATTGATATAACTTGAGAACCATGTACATTTAATTTTCAAACATCGAAACGACCCGACTTTCATTATTTTGTCTCTGCAAAAATTGCCGCTAGGGTCCCCGTCATTTTACACTGTTGTTTATTCATCGCCCAGACCAGCAGCAATAGCCTGTGGCTATAAATAGCCACCGTCTAAAAAACACTTGACTTATTAATTCTTATCACAAAGAAACAGTGTCGTCTATCTAACACAATATGAATAGGATATATGCAAGTATTTACATCCGTACTATACCGTCCTTCATCTTCCTATAAAACAAAAGTGTGTTTAACATATCTTTCAAACATATCTTAGAAAAATAAATTGAAAGAATATTAATTTGTATAATAGTGAAAGCTTTTTATAACCCCTTCGCAACTAAAATCTATAACAGTTATTGAAATTTGGAACTTTTTGAGGAATTTAGTCGCATCTGTCCAAAGTACTTAGTATATTTGTTCAATTTTTTTCCGGTCATAGTGCATAATAATTATTATGTTAAGAATGGACAACAGACTTCTCCCTGTTTAATATGCAGAGAATATGCAAATGAGATGCAGAATTTAAATACTGTAACGATTAGAAAGAAGACCTTTCGAAGCCCAGGTACCATTTAATCAAGATTAGGTTCACTGCCTATAGAAGTCATTGAAAGTAACTGCTAATGATACTGGCAATATGCTTCCACTAATTTTACCACTTAACCTTTTAAAATTCTTCCCATTTTATTCTGTTGTTTTGGTTATTTCGAAGTCACCTGGGATTTCTTTTTTTGTACATAGTCCACTATTCATATTATTTGTAATCTTACAAGATTTGTATTACAGAAAAAAAGCTAAATCTTACTACATCTGAACCTACTAGAATGCATTCTGAAATATTCTTGAAATATTTTGACTTCTTAGCACTTCTGAAGTTTGTTTGTTTGTTTGTTTGTTTGTTTATTGTTTAATGTCCCTCTCGAGAATTTTTCACTCATATGGAGACGCCACCACTTGCCGGTGGAGAGCTGCAAATTTTGACCTATACTCGGCACTTACATGTACGGCCATTGAGCAGTGAGGGATCGTTTTCGTGACAGCACCTACTGCGACACGGGACCTCGGTTTATACAGTCTCATCCGAAGGACCGGTCTCCACGTCCCACAATGGGATTCGAACTCGCGACGTAAGGATCAACTTCGCGACTCTAGAGCGAACGCTCTAACCACTGCGCCACGCGGGCGACCACTTCTGAAGTTATTTTAGGCTTAGTTTCATTATATTCTTTAATGCCTTTTTTTCTGTTTTACATTTACTGTATGTTATTTTTATGGAATTACATACATGTATAATATTGTTCTGAAGGAATACATACATTTAAAGTGAATCTAAATCAAAATGTCATCAAATCTTTGATATTTTGCTCGACTTGCTAACTTGCCTCACTTATTGTACATTGTCCAACGTCAGAGTACAGACGTACCGATATTCCGATGGGGTATTAACGTATATGCTATTTTGATGTTGTCTTTGCTATTTTGATGTTTTGGTTATTTATCGTCTTTCGAGTCCTGGGAAAAATCAGTTGAGTTCATTTCACTGGACGCAAAGCAGCTATCTGTTCGGCACTTACAAAAATACGCTTTATGAAAATCTCTGTCATGTCCCCTAACAAAACATTGGTACCGTGCGTCCTCACTTAACCCAAAACTTGATTCTGTACTAGACTGATCTTTGTTTTGTCGGCTCTGGAAGGTTTTATACCAGTGGTGTAGCACATTTGCGATCAGAAGATTTGCTGTTTTGCTTTTAGCTCTGACGTTCCCATTTCGTCTCTTTCTTAGCTTTGGTCGTCGACGAACTTCCGTGACTGCATTTGTAGGCTGGGATTTGCTTAACTGAGTTTGTTCTATTCCTCCGGAAGCTTGGACGTCTATTGATGAAGTCGCTGCTTCTCTCGAACTGTCTTGGTCAAAAGAAATACGTTCACCATTCTGTTTTTCCTTACATATGCATTTCACTGTGAGTTCGTTAATGACAAAATCAGAAAAGTCAGAAAAAAGACTTCTGTATTTCCTTTGAATAACATTTTGTAACGATTCGTAATACTTGTTTCGATCTTCAACTGAAGCATATTGCATTTTTGAGAAGACCTCGTTCCAAAGATGTTTTCTTTCATGACGACAAGGAGTCCCAACCGCTCGTTGCAAGAAAGATTCATCCACAAGACCATCAGTATAGAGATCATCAACAGCATCTTTGATGTCCACTTGATTGTAAATGCAGCACCTTAGACAGATTAAGTTTTCCTCGGGATGTTCAGATTTTTGTCTTTGATAATCGCTCTGGAGATTTTTAGCGAGATCTGGCCGTTCTGAATCTAGAGCTGTTACGAACTTTAGAAAATTATCTTCGCCGTAATGAGAAAGACACATCAGAAGACTCCTGATTTGATCCTTCTGGGAGCTGCATGACATTATTGCTTCCTGATCCGATTGATAAATAGCCTCGTTTTCAATAAGATCATCAATGACGTGCCCTCGAATACACAATTCATTTACAAGCACTTTATGGTTCTTCTGTAAAACTTTGACATGGAAATCTGAGGGTAAGATTATACTTTTTATTTCACAGAAATATAAAATAAGAGAGAAATTTTCATCATGAATTAACATTAAAACGTAAGAAAACAAGTAATACCAGGCATGTATCTTTTCTTCTTCTCAAAAGTTTGTTGGTTTTCATCCAGTTTTCCATTTGTTTTGAAGTTTTGTCTCTTTTTTTGACACGTATCTTCAGTTCCATCCTTACATGGACGATATCCACGTAGGAATTCCGTGATGTTTAAAATCTTCTCCAATTTCTCCTCGAAAGAAAGAATTCTTATGAACTTCTCTTCAATGCGTTCAAGCTTTTCATAAATTTTCTATAACCGAAAGGAAAACAAGGTAAGGCTATAGATACATGCATTATTCTTATCAATCTTCACAATGCAAGGAGTTTCTAACGTAGTATGATCAAATAATATTATGATTATCAAGAAATCGATTGTTGTGCTTTAAAATGATGGTAAATCGGTAGATATTGTCCTTTGCTTGGAATACTGTAGTCGTACTTTTTTCCGCGAGAGATTCATATACGTTGTGTACGCGGTCACAAATTTGTCATTGCTAGCGTTCTTAACGTAAAGACCATAATTAAGTCACATTTGCAAACAGTTTTGCCCTGTTTTAAATTCGCCCAGAAACAGATATGGTACTGTTTACTTTGATTTCGCCCGTTTTAAATTCACCCACTTCTGACGAGGGCGAAAGAGGCGAAAATTTCCCTGTATACAGTACATATCGGCGTAATATTCCGTGGAATTGTGATCCCCTGGGAAAAAAGTATACTACATATAGAACAGTATATTAAACCTTGTATTTTATTAAAAAATTCAAATCCGAACTTATTTTTCTTCTATTAAGATTAATTTACTAAATATCAACGAAAATAGTTATGAAAAATCCGAAATTTGAACCCGGAAATATTGCGTTCCTAACATGGAATAGTTGGTTCCGAACCCGGAACAATTAGTTCCTTGCATTTGCGTAAATAAAGCATTGTTATCAGCAAAAGCAGCGAATTCAATTTCTAAGCGAATATTTTTAAATATATGAAAAAGATAAAGTTTTTTAGTGAATTGAAAAAGAATTTCAACAGAGACATATTCCAGTTCCCACTTTCTATCAATATGCATATACATATATAGCAAAAACTATCAAAAATAACAATGAAGTTTAAGGCGTATTGGGCCTCACCCAACAGTACGGAAGTGTATAGGTCTCTACATTTGTATTATAACTTGTACATTGCCTTGTTCTTTATTGTCTTATCAACATATAAAGTGTTACATCTCCTTATTTATACACATATTTTGAAATGTTTCTGGGGATTTTAACATAATTTAAGGTTCCTTCTTTTATTTGATTGATTTTATCGTTACATGTTATATCGACTTTAAAAATATTGATTTGAAAATATTGATTAAAGCAGGAGTTTTCATCATAACAACATAGTTATGTCGATATGTAACAATACAACAATACATATATATGTATATCGGTATGAACATACTAATATTTCCAGGGAAAAAAGGTGAGAAAATATTGTTATTGACTTCGCGGGGGCTTGAATTCTAATGAAATGTCCTTTAACTCGGGATTATGATGTTCTTGTTAGCAAATATAACCTATCGTTGGGTCGTAATTTGGCTGATGTGTTTCATACCAATTGGTAGGCCTTTGTTTTTTTTTTACTGAATTTAACTACGGAATGTTCCGTTTACCTGATCAATACATACAACTCACACGTGTGTGACCGGTCAACAGGGGATGCTTACTCCTCCTTGGCACCTGATCCAACCTCTGGAATTTCCAGGGGTCCGTGTTTTATCCCTGTTCACAGATTTGTATTGTTTATACTTTATAGATTGTTTTGAGATCATCATTTTTCGTTATCTTCACATTTCGCACACAAAACATGTACCATATACCCGGTATTTTCTTATATGATAATAAATATAGTGTAAAACATATAATTATTTTATTAAAGTTTTCAAGAAGGGGAATGGGGAGGCATCAGCAGTTATATCAGAAGCGTAGTCATAAGGGGCTATTACCCCCACTATCACTTCTGAGGAGGGGCAAGAGTATTCTTCTGCCCCTCCTACAGCTTTTGTGATCTGAGTAGTAAATATATCCTGAAAATAATGGAATTGAAATATCAAATCTCTTTTTCTTTCTTTTTGCTTGTCAGATATTTCACTTGGATGACATCCCCTTTTTTCTACTGGTGACTAAGTTTATGCAGATTGATGAAATAAAGCAAAAGTAATGTTTTGTAATTTTAAGTAATAAGAAGTTTGATCTGTTTGGCTGATATTGACATTTATTTTATATGATATTCTGTCATGATCCACTGTTTATATTTTGTTGGGGGGGGGGGGGGGTTCAAGAGCATGGCGGATCCTATGTTTATCACATGGTGTGGTGACAAAACTTAAACTATTTACAGAGTTTACAAAGCTAATGTCACTTTTTTATATCATTCCTTTCGCTGTATCCACAAATAGGCTTAGTACTACATGTATTTAGGAAAAGAACATTGAAACCGGGAAGGGGTTGGTAGCTTGTCGGTAATTAATAAATTATTTCACTCATCACAATATTTATTATGTTTACTTTGCAAACATATTTTTATTTCGGAGAGAGATTGATGATTTATTTTTTTTATTAAAAGAAATTATAAAATTTTCATTTGCATATATATGATTTCTTATTGCTAAGACTGATTTAAAGTCATGTATGGCATATATTTATGATAAGTTCAGACTTACTAAAATTATGAAATAAAATATGGATGTAACGAACAGTATTCAAGCTCAAAGTCAATTTAAACAATACAAATCGGGATCAGAGCAAATACGGGCCTCCAAAAACATCAGAGGTAGGGTCAGGTACCATGGAGGAGTGAGGTTTCCCTGCCGACCGGTCACCCCCCTCCCCTCCCCCCGTGTACTCTTTGTCATGATCGGGAAAAACGGAAAAATCCGTAGACAATTCAGTGTGTAAATAATGGCCTAATAATTAGTCTGAAAAAATGTCAGTCAGCATATGACTTAATTATAGGTTGTATTTGCTGACAAGGTCATTGTTTTCACCATAAAACTTGATGACGTCAAACGAGACTGTTGATATCCTTGTTTCATCAACTTGTTTGGCAAGAGCTTGCCACGTTTTAGAAAATGTTCATACGTAGAGCATGCTCTTGCGTATCGAATCAACTGGGATACAAAAACCTCATATGCAAGTGATAAGGGTATATTGCTACATAAGTGAGGAAAGTTAACGATTGAAAAATTGGTCCTCACGTTTATCATAAAGCTTTTTTTGTTAGGTTACCATTAAAGTTTTTTTCTTGTAAAATATATCCAAATATGGAACAGATGTGTCAGACTGTGTGGCATCTTTTATTTCAAGTTCAATGTGATATATCGAGTCGACATAGGAATGGAAGTAACTATTGTTAATTGATAATACGTCGTCGATATATCGAAATGTCGAGTTGAAGGCCACAGCAGGGGTTTTCTTCTTCTCATGTAGAAGTTTCTGAGTAAATTCTGCTTCATATGAATACAGAATAGGTCTGCTAATAAGGAGGGCACGATTGGTACCCATGGGAATTCCAACAGATTGTTGAGAGACCTGATCTCCAAAAACTATCTAAATATTGTCAATCAGAAACTTAACGTCAACTTCAGAGTACTTGTGTGTACAGTCAGAATGTTTTGGAACAAGGTAATAATAAATAAATATAAAAATATAATTAAAATATAATATAATAATAATAAAAATAAAAATAAATAAATAACCAATGACAAGGTAAGTAAATTTACGAGTTCCATTAAAGCAGCTGTCTTTGATGTCAAAAAAGCCTTGACTTTAATTTATCGTGGGGAATTGTTGTATAAAATGTTGAAAAGTCGTACGTTTTTAATTTTATTGATTTTGGTAAAATTTTGTGATTTTTCAAATTTTCTAAACGTTCCTTGGAGTTTTTGAGTATCCACATCTGATTTATACCACTTCTTGAATATATACTATTGTACAGTATCACTTAAGTTTCTCCTTCACTGCTGTAAATATATTAGTGAGGAGCAAGGAAATGGGCTTGGTAGAACATTTACTGGAACCCGCTGATGAAACGTCACATCACTCGGAATTTAGCGACGGCATATGTGCATTGCACCATGTGTGAAGTGTCAAATACTTGCTATATGATTATAGAGAGAATAGAAACGTTTTGAAGTTGAAGGGATGGGGGCAGGGATATGAGCAGATAGATTGTCATCAGTGAAGCAAATATCAATTATCAATCATTCCTATTCAGAAGAAATCAAATACCAGGTATGTGCAAGTCTAGTAAAATTTCCATAATTTCTTTTGGCAATAAAAGTCATCAATCTTTTTTTTAAAGCAATATGAGCTGCAACTTTGATGTTGGAAATTTTTGTTGCAATATCATTTACTATTTCAATGACCGAAAAAGACCGTTTATAAACTTCTATTGTTCATATTTGCTATGGAAGAACTAATTTTTAACTTTGATTGTATATAAGCAAAATTACATTATTGTCATCCAATACAATATTGATTTCTTATATAATACTATACATTTCATTGTACAGAAATCTTTCTTTTGAAACAATAAACTATAGTAATACTTTATTATAGTCTATTTGATTATACAGGTTTAAGTTACATGTACATACATATTTATCATAATAGCACATTTTAACAGCAAAATAAAATTCTCAAAAATGCAGCTCATATTGCTTTAAATAAAAAATATATGCTTGCATAGAATTCATAATGAATATTGTGATGAGTAAAATAATAAATGAAAAGGTGTCCCACCACTCAGGTTTCGCTGTCCTATTCCTAAATACATGTAGTACTGAGTCCTGGCCCTATTTGTGGATGCATCGAAAGGAACAATATATGAAAGTAACACTGGTTATATATATAAACTCTGTAAATGTTTGATGTTGTGTAATCATGTGGTAAACATTGGATCCGCCACATAGACGTGAATCTCCACACATTTGATTCTCTTCTCCCTCAAAAAAAGTAAGCAGTGAATCAAGGCATAGTATCAGATAAAATGTCAATATCTGTAGTTCATATTTGACTCCTTATTACTTAAAATGAGGTTTTATCATTTTGGTCCATTGCGGACAATCGCATAAGTTTAGTCACAAAGTTAAAAGGGATGGGGGTCAACCAAGTTAAATTTTTGATAAGCAAAAAGAAAAAAAAAGAGATTTGATTATTTAACTCCATTATTTTCGGGATATATTTACTCAGATCAAAAAGCAAAATATACGTTTGTCCTCCTCCTCTTTAAAAGTAATGATGGTGGCAGTAGCCTCTAATCATGCTAACGACTCAGCTTATGATCTTACTGCTGATGTTCCCAAACCCCTCTTCGAAACATTTCTGAATCTCAAAAATAATATATGTATCACACTATATCGTATACGATAACAAATACTCAGAACATGGTACACTGGTGCTGTCTCCGAATCCCTAACAAAGTGACGTTTCATTAGATTTACGGCCACCGACGGAAAATACTGTTATTTTCTTATCATTTTCCCGAAAATATTAAAATATTTATACGCTTCAGCAATTTTCACCGATACACTACAGTTTTTAGAAATTAAATCTAGATATACAGTATATATTTTGCTGATTTGAAAGTGTTTCATAGCCCTAAAAGACGATTTGCACAATATACCGTTTAATAAAAAAAATTGTTAATACATGTATTATCATCATGTTAACTTTTCCTTTTGAAAGATATTTGCTGTTTTTAAACATTGACAGTATACTGTTTTTGACGACAAATTTCAACCAAAAATACATGTCAACACAGCGACAAAAATGAAGACATAAAAGCTTAACATAAAGTCACGAATGATTATTTAAAATACAATCTTCCGTCGTGTTTCAAATATGTAGAAGTGATCACTTACTTGGAGATGAACCGTGATAGCCATATTTAACGGGGAAAAAAATTATGTGCTCTGCGTACACAGACACGGCTGTTGTAATAGGCTTCCTCTTTGCAGTATTTTTTAATATAGGGTTGACATAATTTATGCGCACTAACGCACCATGATCCGGAATGTATAACTGCGTCAACTGTCGAAAAGTGAAAGGTTTTTTGGGGGGGTCGTCGACGGAAATTTCTAGTATCTAACTAAAGTTCACATGGACATCAAGGGCATTAGTCAAGTGCCGCAATATATATATATATATATATATATATATATATATATATATATATATATATATATATATATATATATATATATATATATATATATATATATATATATATATAATCCAAAGTATGAGAAAGAAATCCACACAAGTATTCAAATAATAAAAAATAACAAATAACAGAATGCCGATAAAACTCTACCGGTTTCAATTGTATCATCAGGAGTTTTGACATATTGCTATATTTACATTCCACATGTATTTTGCTTATAAAGTGTGAGGAAGGCTACGGCATTCAAAATACTAAAACACGGACAGGGGGTCAAAAGGTTAAAGTATGCGTTTTATTTTGACGTCACAAACGTCGAACGCCGTAGAATTGCAACTTCATAAAGCGAAAATCAAAATTCACGCTCACATTGAACAGAGGCTGTTGCAATGGCCCTTCTTTTAATTGTAACTTACCCAAAGGATAATACAGGGGTTTTGAAATATAAATAAGATTTGCAGTCAAGGCAAGGAGTTAAAAAATGTAAATATAAGCATTGAATCACTATTTTTTGAAAGATATAGTCTCATAACTGCAACGGTGGGTGCAAACAAAATTTTCATAACGCGCTAACGCTTACCCCTGTCCGTGTCATGGTGTTTTGAATGCCATAAATTTCCACACATTTTATATGCAAAATACACTTGTAATGTAAATATAATTGAAACCGGTAGAGTTTTAATCGGCGTTCTATTATTTTATACATACATACATACATACATACATACATATATATATATATATATATATATATATATATATATATATATATATATATATATATATATATATATATATATATATATATATATATATATATATATATATATATATATATATATATATTAGAGAGAGAGAGAGAGAGAGAAAGTCCCTAAAATAAAATGAGAGAATAGTAAATGTATAACTTAAACCACTTGTAATTTTTTTTTTTGAAAATTTTTATAATTTATTTTGTTATACCTTTAAAAATTGTATCCTATATAATTCTATACTAAAACAAGTCTAACATGAAATATGTGGAGATAACGAACAGTATTCAAGCTCAAAAGTCCATTAAACATTACAAAATAAGCAGAGCAAACACGGACGTTAAAAAATAAGCAGAGCAAACACGGACCTCTAAGACATCAGAGGTGGGATCAGGTGCCATGGAGGAGTAAGCATCCCCTGCCGACCGGTCACCCCCGCCGTGTGCTCCTTGTCATGATCGGGAAAATCCGTAGACAATTCATTGTGTGTAAATAATGACCTAACAATTAGTATGAAAAACGTCAGTTAGCATTTGAATTAATGATAGATTGTATTTGCTGATTATGTAATTGTATCGACCATAGAACTTACGAAATGATGACTATAAACGAGACTTCTGATATTCTTGTTTCATCAACTTGTTTGTCAATAACTTACCTCGTTTTAGAAATTGTTCATACGTAGAGCATGCTCTGGCGTATCGAATCAACTGAGAGATTTCCAATGTTTTACTGAGCGGTCATTAAAAAAAATCGATGTTTGACTACAGAGCGAGATATTGGACATGTCGATAAGATGTTGGACCGCTTACGTCACAGTTTGGACGGGGTCAGCTGTATCTTATTTGCATTCGTTAGAGTTCGACAGAACTTTATTGAATTGACCAAGTTTAAACCGCAGTAGGGGTAAACAAAATTTACATCATGTTATGTCAAAATAAAAAGTAAAAGGTATAACAAAACACTTGTTGACTGTGTTCTCGGGCAAAATGCGTTTTGTAGACCCCTCGAACCAAACTGTTTGCCTTTGGCCTAACGCCCTTTGGCAAACAGTTTGGTTCTTGGGTTCGACAAAATGCATGTTGCCCTCGAACCCAGTCAATAAATGTATAACGTTAAATTCATTGGTAAACGCTTTGTCTCAAAATTATACTGAAAAAAATCTTTCAGTAAGCATTGTTATTTACTACAACTTGGCGTAAGATGTAAGTTGGATATACAATCGTGGTCATTACATACTTGCAATTAACATTCCGGATAGGGCAATATTTAATTTTCTTCGCATGCAAATACATGTATCAGTATGCTTTGTACAATTGGGGATTCGATAAAAGCTGAAAAGGGTGGATTTCACTGAGACCAGTGAAGAGAATAGAATTGAAGTGGAATTTCCTCATAGCAAGTTCCAAGTTAACTTGTTGAAAGCATTAAATATTTAGTTATTTACAAAAACAACCCTTCCGTACTTGAAAAAAAAAAACATTTAAATAAATGTTAGTGCGATAAAACAATGTTTTTATGTCTGGTATTTGACAATATCTCCACAGGTAAGAATGGTCAACAATTATATACAATGATTAATTCTTTAAATATATACAATCAAACGATAGACTCTCCCGATTCACCAGCCGACTTTCTCTTAGGGAAGAACGTTTTCCACATATCCTCCTTTTCTGGGCCAATTTTTTGGTGTATTTCACCATGGATAGTAGTTGAAAATATGAAACCATCAAAACATGGGTTTTTGTAAATAATTTCATCCTGTCTGTCTTCTTTTCGTTGATAAGTATTTGAAATATCTATGATGCTCCTTGTGGTGTATTCAGTTTGGGGAGGTCTTAATAGTTGTTCCGAGTTCTTTTTTGTTATTGTTTTGGGTACAGTGATTAAAGACGAATCTTCAGTGTCTACATCGAAATACCCTGACTCCGTCCTGCCCCCATTACCCGGCACACTTTCTTCTGCAGTGACTACAATTTCTGGATTCTGGGTATGGAGAGGTGAAACTATCTTTTCTTCTGGTTGAGTTAACTTTTCCTCGGACTTCTTGGTGGAAAATGGTGTCTCAAACAAAATGTCGGGGGTATTCGAACGGGATTCACATTTTCGGGCGATGACGGAGCTCGCATCACTAATGGAGTGGAGACGTCCTTGTGTAGACGGATCCATTGCCTCACAAGTGCAGTCCCAAGAACACTCTAAACGAAGCTGGCGACTTTCTGCGATATCAGAGTATTTCTTTGCAAGAGCTTCTTGCATCATTTTGGAAACATGAATCTCATTTCTCTGTAAACTTTTCAGATTATCAAAGACGTACTTCCATACCTTACTGCCTTTGAACTCCGAGTTCGGTTCGATGTATTTTCTAAGTGCTGTAGCACCAATGATTCCACTAGAGAACAACTCATCGATGACCTCTCCAGGTTGTACTCGTGTAGTGATATGAAAAGGACGTGAAGTAAAAGATGGCAAAATGTCAAAGGTAACAAAATTAATTAAAACTAATGATTAAGTTCAGGTTTAAAGTTCGATAAAATAGTCTATTTATGTATGTAATGATAAGGATGTAGCCCTAATTAATGGGGTTTATCAAATAAACAACTTGGCTAGAATGTTATCGAGTACTTGGGGATACAATGGATCCCTCTCTCTCTCTCGACACCCCTTCCCCCCCTTTCTACGAAGATTTGGTTTCCAGAACTCCTCTCATATTTTGCGCAGTAGCCTAATCATCTTTTGGAATATGACTGGTGGTGTAACGTAGATGTGCATTAGGTTTGGAATTTTCATTTTAATTCTTAAGACCAAATTGGGGTCGAAAAAGTGATTTTTCTCAAAACCATTTTCACAGAACTCCTCAAACTTTTGGAATATGACTGGTGATGTCCTGCAGATGTGAAATAAAATTTCGTATTTTCATAAGACCCGCTCTTGAAAGGGGGGCTAAATAGTAGCCAAATTTAAAAAAAAAACGCCCCTTTTATAAAGAAAAACCTTTCCGTGCTCTTTCTTAAACAGAATTTATGATTCATTAAATTCTTTAATTTTAGACAATGAATTTATTATTTGAAATACTAACACAGGAGGCCCGTGGTCCAATCCAATTAAAATTAGATCTTTGATCCGCTAGATAGCTTAGTGTAGCGATCTATTTGATCTAATTTTAATTAGATTGCCCATGGTCCGTTTGTTTAACAGAGCATTTTCAATTTAATTTGATACAAGTATTAATTTGCATTAAAGAATAATTATTGTGACCACTCCGCTAGTTCTCCATGAAGAAGGAGAGTATGACGTATCACATTTCCTCGGAAAATTTTCCATAAAATGTTTTATTACATTTCTGCAAATGAGCTCTCATACTATTATAGTACTACATAATACAGTAAGAAAGAGTGAAAAAGATATGCTTACTTTCTTTGGATAGAACATAAAAAGTTCACAGAAAATCAAACGTGGTGAGAGAAGAATTAACAAGGACAAATTTGGTGCCAGAACAAACATGCATAGGCGTCGGAACCAGAGAGGAGGCTAAGCCCCTCCCCCTTTTTTTGCAAAAACAGACATAATGCAGGCATTGAAAATTGGGACTTACCCCCCCCCCCCCCCCCCCCAACGTTTTTTGGTTGGTTTAGCCCCCATCCCCTCCACCTTCAATTTTCTTCTGATGCCACTGACATGTAAAAGAAAGCAAACAAGGTGACACTAGCCTGCAAAAATCCTCATGTGCAAAAATTTGACAACTTTAATGAGAAGTTACAGGTATAATGGGGACGAAACTACTCGAGGCGAAACAACTCAAAGTGAACATGTAATCGGGGCGAACCCACACGTTACCGTAAATACAATGCGAATACAAGTATTATTGTCATATGAGAGCATCTAGTTTTCAATCTTTTGTTGAAGGTTTTAACTGTAGTATTTTATATAAAACTCTTATACATGTGTTTTTAAGGTTTTTATTTCAGCACCAACAAGAAATACATTTATGTAATGTTTTTTTCTCATCATTTTTGAAATTCTATATCTTTCACTTCCAAAGTATCATACTGCATTTCACTTATGATTTTCCTTTGCTTGCCTTCTCAGTGTTCAACAATTTAACAAGTCATCAACACCAGCATAATCAGAATTTGTTCACTGATTCATCAGATTCACAGTCCTTGGTCTTAGTTTCTCTGGTAGGGATGAGAACTTGAGCCCTGCTTAATGTTGGTCTTTATTGAACTGTGAACTTTTCCTAAGTTGTTTCCTAAAACAAAAAAATATTGAAGCATAAAGACAAAAATGAAATAATTAATCAATGCAATAACAATATAGAATTTAACATCCGCCAACAGAAATAACACTATACACTGTATTCAAAATGACCTGCTGATATTGAACTAAATAGGCTCAGACTGTAAATAAACATTATACATGTTACACATGTATATGCACCTTGTGGTTTCTGCTGTGCTGCTTGTTGCTGAGGTTGCATGCTCTGTTGCTGTGACATCTCTGCTCGCCTCATACTAGCTGACTTGAACCCTTTCCCTGTTAGAACTGCTGACAGAAGTGTATTTGTATCAGCCTGTGATGATGTCTGGGAGAGAGAGGATTTCTGATCTGTGGAAGAAAACAACTCTAATGTGGAACAGCTTCAAAGAAAATGATGGAGTTTGTAGACATCACATGCCCTTAGCATAAATCTATATATATAGCAAAGTGAGTTAATTTATCAAAACATAAATGAAAGGATTTTTCTTTCTAATTTACAGTTTGTAGAACATCTTTCTCAGGTATATGGGATTAGTTGTTCCCATTTATTCAGAAATCCAAGCTTGACAAGCTGTGACTCACTGGCTTCCTTTTCCATGGTTTCCTGGTGAGACTTGATGATATCCACAATGTTACTGGTCATCTTGTTCATATTATTGATCTGTTTCTGCATAATATATATACAATTAGAGTCATTTTTATTGTTAAAATATATGAAGTCATCTTCAGTTTGGAGCTATATTTGGTATTTTTTAAAGGCATAAATATTGCTTTTCTTTTTCAAACAAAAAATAGGCTACATAACATTAATTCTTTTACTTTCATAAGGTCTTAAAAACAAGCAGGATTCTTATTTTCATGATTACTTGTGGTCATCTATTATATGGCTGGTCTTTTGCAAGGAAGTCGATAGAGATCTTAATCTTGCAGGATTTCTGGGGCATAACATCGTGTGTGCTAGTGACAATTGAATGCTTCGAACAATCAGTATGCCGAAAGTACAATATATTGCCAAGGATTGAACTTTAAACAGTAGGTTGTTTAGGCCATAATAAATAAATTCCTAGATTCTCATCCCCGCCCGCCCCGATTTTTTACCCTCACCTTGATTTTTTTAATTTCTGTTTTATTTCATCTTGATTCTGATCGGGATCAGTATTCAACTACCATGCAACTTTTGTTATAAATCCCATGAATGTTGGCATGATTTTGACAGCTGACAAGATCATGAAGATGGTAATTGAAGCGGTAATTGAAGTAATATATATGTATTAAACAAGGATCATTGGTTGTGAAAGATTGGTGATGATGTGTATTAAGGGATATGCAGATTTAAATGGACCTCTACTGTGACTTTTATTCCGGCATTATAGATAAATCTGCACTGATTGATCAGGTCAACAAAAAATCTACACATTGAATGCATAAAACAAAAAATATAAAATAAAATCCACCCGCCAGCCTTGATTTTTCAAAAATTTTGAATGAGAATCTAGGAATTTTTTTTCAGCCTTAATAAGGAATGTTTAGAGTGTTTTATCAGCTTCCAAAAGTAACGATTATCAGAAAGTTCATTAAAAATTTCAACAAAAATGTAACACATGAGGATTAACTCCACTTAAATTTTATAAGCGTAGTTCAGCAGATGTTCAGCAAGATATTTCACCGGGACTTCTTTCTTTTCTGTGCTTAAAAAATCCACAATGATTGATCTTGCATTATATTCAGCAGCACATTATCCCCTGCCAAGAAACATTTCCTACCTCCACTATGAAAGAGTTTCGTTAAGTAAGTTATTGTGATATCAAGTATTTCTTTGAAAGGCACATTATAGTAAAACTCTGTCTAGGTAGATCTATACCTGGGCCATTTCAGGTGACAAAGTGGATGCACGGCTTAAAACTGGTTGTAATCGTTCCTCTACATCTGGCTCTGGTTTGGTTCTCAGATAATGGGGCACAACATCAGCATTGAAAGCTATTACTCTTCTCTCAGTCACTTTCTAGAAATAAAAATAATTTAAGAAATTTCTGTTGTCATTTATCATGATTTCTTTTCTTGGAATCCTTGTTGCCCTCCATATTTGACACAATATGTTGCTGAACAAAATATGCTGCCTAGGAGCATTCAATTCAAAATGATAAAACATGGACTGTGGTCAAGATCATAGCTAATAGCCCAGCTGCTAACAAGGTATTTTAGGTTTATGGAATGCACTGCATTAATTACTGCTTGTTATCCCTATGTATAGCAGCTAAGTTTGCATATTGTTCAAGATCATAGATCTAGATACCTGCCATGATCTTGAATGCAGCCCTGATCTTTAAGTTTTCATTGTACTGGAAAAATGAATTGAATGACATAGATATGTAAACTTATTATCAATTTCAGAAAGCAAATGTATGTATAAATAAATGAATGATTATCAGATTCTGCAGTTCTTCTAAGGTGAAAATCTCAAGTGCCATCCTCAGTTACAATATTTTTATGTTTATTGCTGCTCTGCATGTTGTATACTAACTAATACAATTTCTAATCTGGCAATCTTATTTACTTAAAGTATTTTTATTTTTCAAGGTGTTGTGGGATGAACCTGTGATGTTTTTGTGTAAGTAATTAATCTATACAATTATTGAATAAAATAAATAAATTTACTTACCTCCAACTCTTGGTCTCTGTCACCAGATAAAGCTATTGGGAGAAGCACAGAATTTCTTAATGGTGGAACTTTTTCATTTCTGAGAAGTTTTCCAAGGGTGTTCAGCTGCCCAGATAGAAGAGCAAAGTTATCAAGCATTGTGGGCCTATTAAAAAAGCAACAAAATAAAAATCAACAAATGTATCCAAAAGTGCAATAATAGAAGTTAAGTATATTCAATTTCATTAGTGGGGCTAATAAATATACTTTTTAGTATAAGCAAACAATGCAAGTGTCTTGAAATATTATGTGAAATAAGTTCAAATAAAAGACATTATTGAATTCGATCAACATTTCCACAAGTGAATTACAGCATCCAATAAATTTTGAAATCGTCAGACCAAATCAGAGATCTATAACTTACTGAATATTTTCCGATTTTTGTAGATCATATACACTTCATTTTTATTTAAGGACCCTCTCTACACTTCACCCTAATTTCAAGGTACTTTTGTGTAGTTAGACTGACCATTCATTTGATATAGAAGTAGAATAAATTGCAATCTGCACTGTATGACATAATTTAAAATAAATCCAAGTATTGCAAACATTATATTAGACCAAGATAGAGAAGTTGAAAAATTTATTTACATGTATTTTCTCCATTTGAGTAAGAAAAAGCGAATTTTATTTATAACTACTTCATTATCTTTGAAGATTTTTCCTGGATAAAAAAGGCACACTCCCTATATTAAAAATGAATTAGTTAAATTCAAAATATCCTCCTTTACACTATATAATTTTCTCAAAGTCCAAAAAACATTTTTCGTCAGTGTATAGAGGGTCCTTAATTTGAAATGCATTATAAGCTGATTCTGAAAAACACCCATTTTGTTGAACCTTCTCATCAGAAAATACCTTCTCCAATTTATTAGAAAGGCTAAAAATTACAAAAACCTTATATGAAATTCAGTTACCTTCACCATGGACACTGAAAGTTAATGAATATTGTAATAAAATACAAGTGTGTATTAAAAGCACACACATACTCTATATTTACATTTACTTCCAGTGGCTGTGCAATATTCACATACCATTGTAAGGTGTTGTATTCATTTTCCAGTTTCAGAAGAAAATTTGCAATGGAATTCTTTATGTCCTGGACTCTCTGAATAAGAGATTCCACTGTTTGTTCCAGTTGTTTTTCTTCTTTCTGAAATTGATATACATTGCAAAATATATTTTAATCTGAACTGATATAGGTCTACATTGTAAAATATATATTTTAATCTGAATTGTGGATATTCAACAGGTCCAGCACAATCTCTTGATTAAGCTATATAGCTTAAAATAGCTACATAGCTTTATTAAGCTATTCAAAATAGCTTGATAAAGCTATTTATATGCAGGTTTTCACAAAAATGTTATTTGTACAAAATAGACAAAAAGTCACAAGTATTTGACTATATTCATATATGTAATATGGGTTATCAAATCAACAATTCAAATCAAAGATAGTTCTAACATTGCAGCATTTGAATACTTTTAAGCAAAAGATGAATTTCCATTGTTTGGGTAACTGTACACTACCTTGTGTGCGTTGAGGCATGGATAAGTATGATTGCTTCTCATTGTACTGAATTATTACCAATCAATTATCTTGTTGACCATAATTGGCCTCCTTTATAATTTCATCAAAGAAGTAACTGTATCAATTGCTTTATATAGCCCCAAAACTTTTAGAACTTTGAGTACAAAGTCTCTTAAGGAGACACAATTTGATTAGTGATTTTTACATACATTATTTTCATAAGAGTTCAAGGTTGAATATCATCACTGCACCAAGGTGCGACTTTTTGTGCATACTTGGAAAATAACACATTTGAAAAAAAAGTGTGATAAATCAAGCTATTCTGAATAGCTTAATAAAGCTATATAGCTAAATCAAGCTATATAGCTTAATCAACAACATTTTTTTTTAAAGTTAAGATGGCATCTAGTTACTAGTTTTCAGTTCAATGATCTGAAAAACATTTGGATGGGCAACCAGATATTGTCCATCCAATTTACTATTCGATTCTAATATAATTTCTTTAGACCATATCAACATGATCAAGCTACAATCTCAGAACATTACAAACTCGATCTTCCAATAGATTGCTTCATGCTCATTGCTTTTCTTGAATGCTTTGACAGAAAGTATACAACTGATTTCAAATGAATAAATACATTCAATCTTAACAAATTGACATTCGTTAATTCATTCAATCACCTGCATTTTTCATCTACCGGAAGCTGTGTGTGTGTGCTTTCTGTTTATGTACGTGACGCATGCGCATTACTTCTCCAATCAGAATCCGCCATTTTCTCTTCCCATAAAGAAGGAAACAAAACATTTTTTTTTTGTTTTCTATACTAATTTGCTGAAAAATAATATCAAACTTTTGCTAATAAGTGCCAGTTATTTTCAATAGTAGTCCTTTTTATCCCTTTTCCAGTGTTCGCGCACCTGTATTTGGACTAGATAGTTCTTCACTCTCATTGGTGGGTAGGTCATTGGTTCATGTGTTGATTGGGTATGTAAATTCTGACCAAATTATTGGTCCAAATGCCACAATCAATCGTATTGTAGATGGCCAGCCAGTAGTTTTACTCTGTTGCAATTTACAAAACACTATAAAATGTCACACAATGTCTTGATTGAAAAATTATAGTATATAAATAATGTGTTTAAAAGATTTACGTACTGTTGAAAAATGTATAGACACCTGATAAATATGGTTAGTATCAAAACGATTCCATTTTATATTCATTTATTGCAGTCGTTGGAGTGTTCTACACTGTTCTTTTTTTCATTTTTACTATCTAACCAGACTGATATACAAAATATTTTATCGTAATTTTTTTTAGGATTTGAAGAATGTCTGATCCTAACTACACTCCAGGTGGATCCTCCCCCTCAGGGGGAGTCACTATCAGTGGTGAGGCAAACATGATGCTCCAGCAATTTTGGCCCAAGACCATCAGCAACATTAGAGGCCTTAAGCAGGTAGCTATATAAAGTATATATTGTATTTTGCCACCTGATCTTAAAATAACTGCGATTGTCAGTTCAGTCACTGAAAAAATATAAATTAACTTACATAGAAACAGTCACCAGTGCTGAAATGAATTGTTGTAAGAAAAAACAATTTTTTTGTTATATCTCATTGAGTATACTTTATATGTTTATTCACCAATCAAGGGCCCTCAGGGGGCATATACAATTATTTCAGAATGATTACATATAAATAATATTAAAGTATATTGTAATATGACAGAATATAAATCATATCTATCATGAGGGTACAAATGAAAGATGTACAATAACACGAGTAGGATACTCATGAAAATGCAAGATTTGCAACATAGTCACAATAGTCTGAAACTGGATCAAAAATATTGAGTATAGGAAGAAAACTGAAGGAAGATAAAGAAATTGACAATAATAGCAGTATGCTAATACATGTATATAGTGTGGCTTGAATACAGAGGGCACCAGGGGACGATGCCTCTGCATAGTCAATCTTACTGACACATCTGTACCCTAAGTATTCAAGACACTCATTCAGAATCATTTAGGTGATAGCATTGAGTATATATAACTGTCAAGTTTATAGCAAAACTATGTATGATTTAATTGACTTCCTTTAATACCAATCATAATACATGCAGTTATCCTTTTATTAGTTTGTTAAAAGTAATGATTTATTTTTATCCGATACTGATAAGTTGATGGTACATGTTCTCAATTATGATATGAAATATTTCAGGATGACTTTAAGCAACAAGAGTTACCTTTGGCCAGAATAAAGAAAATAATGAAACTTGATGAGGATGTCAAGGTTAGCACATTGCTCTAAAAGCAGCAGATGATAGGTTGTTAATGTTCATTACTGTGTAATAAACTATTAGAGTTGCAGTTTTAGACCATGTACAAGAAATTGAAGATACAAAATTACATTTTAAAGTATTTAGTTAAACTAGCACTAAATTACTATATTTTACCAGTTTGTATTTAGTTAACTAGCAGTATTTACATTTTTGTCAGCCCCTTTCATACTTATGGTTTTTGTTGCTATAGATGATCAGTGCAGAAGCACCAGTGTTATTTGCCAAGGCTGCTGAAATCTTTATAAGTGAGCTATCTCTCAGAGCCTGGATCCACACAGAGGACAACAAAAGGAGAACTCTGCAGGTATTTATAAAACTAAATTTGGAAGTGTCTTGAAAAAAATAAGAACTTAATCATTTTGTTCTACTACATAACGTTCACACATGAATTTTGAATTGTCCATAACGTTTAGCTTGTTAAATATGTGTCTTTGCCACAATAAATACTAAAGTAAAAAAAAAAGTTTAGAAATTGAAATGCAGCTTTCTTTTTTTTTTTTTTTTTTCTTTTTTTTCTTTTTTTTTTGAGACACTGGATCAGTATACATACATAGAATGCATTTTGCAGAGAAATGATATTGCCATGGCCATTACCAAATTTGACCAGTTTGATTTTCTCATCGACATAGTTCCGAGAGATGAACTCAAGCCTGCAAAAAGACAGGTACTGGTAAACTATTGTTTTAAAATCAAAAAACCTTTGTAATTTCATTGCAAATGTTTGTGTGTTTCATGCAAATGCCCTGATTTACTATTTCTTCTCTATATAAACAGGATGATAGTACAAGGAGCACATCTATGCTGCCAGATCAAATACAGTATTATCTTCAACTTGCCAGTCAGCAGGCTCAGCAACAGCAGCAACAGCAACAACAACAGCAACAGCAGCAGCAGCAACCAGTTCAGCAGACAGCCACACCACAACAAACAGTGCAACAGACACAACCTGTCCAGACACAAATAACACAACAGCAACCCCAAGCAACACAGATACAACTACCTGGTACATTGTATAACATATTCAATTCTCTGTCTTCATGAAGAAAACTTAAAAAGTTACTTTTATTTTGTAAAGAAGTGAAAAGTAAAGGAATGTCAGTAACTTGATAGTGTTGTCATTCTGAAGAATAAATGTTAATTTTCAATGTTTCAGGGGGTCAAATTATTCAACAGCCCTTCCAGATTCATCAGCCTGTTTCTGCTCATAATCCTGTGGCAGCTCAAAATCCAGTGGTAGGTTTCAATATTCCAAAGGCTTAATTCTAGTTTTGGATGATACCTTATCCTGATATTAATTGATACCAATTACTAGATTGAGAAATTTTACAATTACTATGTACATGTAGTAATAGTAAAATTTGTCAGTTATCACATGTGAACATACCTTTACTAGATAAGAAAGAAAAGGATTCACAATTTCAGGTAGCACAGCCTCAGGTGATTCAAATTCAAGCTCCTCATCAACAAACAATACAAACAAGTCAACCTCAGGTGCAACAAGTTCAAATTCAGCAACCCCAACAACAGACACAAGTGTATCAACAGGTCATCACCCCCAATGGAGTGCAAAATGTCCCTGTAAGTTTACTCTACCCAAGGAAATATTGACTGGGTCAGGTATCTGACTCAAGAAAATTGGTCTGACCATCAAGGACCAACATAGGGGACGATTGAGGTGAAATACATGTAGTTACTTTTGGGCTTCAAACTTCACCATAAATTATCAAAAAAGCAAAGTTTAAGTCGCCTTAATATTTTCATAACCTCCCTCTCTCCCTCATTTTTGTAAACCTTAAAAAATCTATTAAGAACACGTGGTAATATCGTCACTTTTGGTGTTATCACTGCTGAAATAGATGAATGTCAGCAGGGCACTTGTACCTGTTTCGCTGCTAATGACCACTGCATCGAATCGTCTAGAATTTATGCTTCCGCATATGAAAAAGTACATTGTTACAAGTTATACACAACAAGACGCAAAACAACTGGGCAGCTATGGATGTCATACCAAAGATGTTAGAGATGATTTTGTACCTTTTTTATTGTCAAAAGATTAATTTATGCTGTGAATACAAACATATTTTACTGTTAAATTTAGAGCTATTAACTGTCTTGTGCAATCACACGTAAAAAATAAGGCTGATTGCATGATGAATTCGCTCAATCAGCATGCAGTAGTAGATCTTGTTTTCATAACAAAGTAATACATTTGTTATTCTTTGTTTTCATTTATTTATTAATAAATACACATTCACAAAAAATGATGATAAGGAATTTGTCATTTAAA